TTTGGGTGCTTTATCGCCAATTCATTAAGGTTATCGCTGTTTCGCAATGAAGTTGTCTCATTAACACAAGTAGGATTCTTCTAGTTCTTCCATTGAGACTCAGTCCTCATAAGCACCGCGAGTAGGCGCCGAGTCCGAATTCAAGTTTGGGAATTTGAATTTTTGAATTTTTGAAATTTGAATTTTCAAATTTCAAAAATTTGGAAACTTTGGAAACTTCAAGTTCATATTTGAAATTGAAGCCATTCATTGCCTGAAATTGAAGGTTGTCATCAGGTCTACCACAGATTCACCGTGATTCGCAGTGCTTCAAATGCGAATGGCAATTTTCATACCGTGCGAGCGGCGTGCCATTATCGTATGGCGCGCGTCCCATCTACCCACGGCGCGCGTACCATTTACTCCCGGCGCACGTGCCATCTACTCGCGGCGCGCGCGCTATTTGACGGCCGGCGGCGGGCGACATGAGGGGCCGCACGCATAAGACGCGCGCGCCGCCGCAGCGAGTGTCTGAGTTCTCATGTCCTGAGTCCGAATATGAAGTTGAAAATCCGCGAAAACCCCGACAATCCCCGAGAACCACAGGCCGGCTTTCTGAAACGGTGATTGGTCGGGTGCGCAGGATGGGCGGACATTACTGTAGTGGGTGGCGCCAACTTGGGGTCCTCCTGCATCTTCGCTATTTGGAAGCGGTTTTCTCGCTTCAGAAGCGACATTTTGCGCCGCACCTCGGGCATTGGCTTGATAGGGGTCCTACTATCATTATCTGCCAAAAGCTCAAGACTCCCAACTTGGGGTAGACGGTGTCATTGAGAGGCATATTGTTGTATTGTACCTATCTGAATCATGTTCAGCACTTGAAAAGGAAGTTGTAGATAATTTTGACCCTCCGCAGTAGAGCAATTTAATTAGAAAAGTATCATAAGGCCATCTAGATTATCGTTTCACAGATATGGAAAACAGTATTCAAACCAGCATCAAAAGGCGCATTTTCTGACATACAAATCACCAGGGCCGGTAGTAATCCCCCCGACCTTGCATACCTTTAAAAAGCCCGTTTTGACTAGGTATTGTATATTTGAAGTGGCTTGAGTGTTTATCTAATCAAACACATTCTTAAATTTGCCAAAAACGTGGCGCTTTCTTCAAGTTCGAATTAACGAAATAAACTGTGCAGCAAACTGAGTTGTTCTTCCTTGCCTGAGATAATTTCGGCTACTGGCATCTGGCATCAGCCATCTAGATTATCGTTTCACAGATATTGAAAACAGTATTCAAACCACCATCAAAAGGCGCATTTTCTGACATACAAATCACCAGGGCCGGTAGTAATCCTCCCGACCTTGCATACCTTTGAAAAGCCCGTTTTGACTAGGTATTGTATATTTGAAGTGGTTTGAGTGTTTATCTAATCAAACACATTCTTAAATTTGCCAAAAACGTGGCGCTTTCTTCAAGTTCGAATTAACGAAATAAACTGTGCAGCAAACTGAGTTGTTCTTCCTTGCCTGAGATAATTTCGGCTACTGGCATCTTCAGTTAGTGTTAATGTCTCAGAAAAAGCGCAAAAGAAAGAGTGAAAAAACCGAAGACAGCAACAAAGTGACAAATCCAAAAGAGCTTCTAATAGTAGTAGTCGAAAAAGCGAAAGAAGCTAAAAAGTCTAAGTAAGAAGAAGAGTTCACAAAAGAAGAGAAATTAATATTTAAAAGGTTAGCGATTGGCATGAGTTTGTGTGGCTCATCGTCCTTCCTTGAAGCCTTGTATTAGAGAGTGTATGAGCGGAGTGTTAAGAGTAAGTTAGGCGTGGCCATAGTTTGCGCGATTTCGTCTCCGCACAACTTCGGATTGCAACGTGCTCACAGTTCTACGTAGGCGCGTATTGTGTAAGCAAGACTCGGCACCTACGCATAGGCTTGCAAAAACTATGCGCCTTTGCACTTGATCACATGTGGTTGATTTGGGATAGGGGAAGGAACTCCGCCAGTCTGGCCGCCCTCGCAGATTACTCGTGCATCGACATGCTACAACATCGCAGAAAGACCAGCTTCCAGCGGGTGGTCTAAAATGGCGGAAATCGTTTCTCTACCGGGTGGATTTGCAGAAAACCGACATTGCCAGTCGCATGGCGACCGCAATTTGGAGGAACGTACTCGACAGGAGAGGTGGTCACTGTGATAAAAGCAAAGGGGGCGAAACTGTGTCGAGAGAATTTCTTCTAGAACAGATTTGAAATTTACAAATCTTTCATGTTGAGGGAAACCTATCTGCAGAGGGGAGCAGGAGGGAAACTGCGCTTGCGCTAGATGTTCTCCAGAGTGGGGAATCGGTCACTATACTCGTAGATTTTTAAAAAAAGCAGTTGGGTAGATTTTGAACAAAAAAAAACAGTTGGGCTTTGGCATAGTCGGGCTGTACGTTAGGCTCTGGCATAGTCGGGGTGTACAAGGGCGTATACACCCCAGTTAGTGCTCCTGCGTAGAAAGGTTTTGAGGCGCTGGAATGCGCTTAATTGCTTAGATCTATGGGCAGCTTGAGTGAAGCGAGGAGACGACCTTTACTTACGGCGGTCTTTAACAGCACTCTGATGATTTTCTCAATACGTTAAGCACTTAGCAAATCTACCCCAATCCCTGGTTTGCTTAGGCGAAAGGCGCCGCAGGTGTATCGCACGCAGTGCCCCTAAATGAGCTCTGAATACCAGAGGAAAAACGTAATGTATACGTTGTTACGTAATGTCTATCTTACCCAGGATTTCTGAAAAGCCTCGGGCGCTATGACAGCTTGAAACACTGGGGTATTTCCTCTGCTAACAAAGGGTAGAAACAGAGATGAGAATGAATAGGCTCTGGTACTCAAATCCCCTGGGAGAAGTCCAAAGAGATGGAACCTTGACATTTGAGAAAAGAATGGCGGCTTAGCATATAGAAGCTGAAAGGTTGGAAGCAAAGGGCTCTTTTGTTGAAGGCAGCAAGGCACCCGTCCCCAGTGTCGTGTTTAGCGGGCACTTGGGTGGAGGACTACATGTCGTCCTATCCGTAATTATTCCTACTACCCTTCACTATGAACATGTTGAACAGGAGCAAGAAGCTGTGCGAACCGCATTTTGCAGCTTTTGCATGATCCCTGATGATCCCCGGCGCTTTTCTTCGAAGTCGTTTTTCTTTCTCCAAAGTTAACGAAAACCTTCCAAAGTTGTACTGAACATCTAACACAACAGTGCCAAGCATGTTGCTGACAAGAACAAATGATGTTTTGAAGTCATGAAAATTTCAATGATCCACAGGTCGAAATTTGAGGTTTAGCGAAAAAGTCGAATTTTCAAAAACTCATTTGTTCTCATCAGCAGCATGCTTAGCTCTGTTGTGTTAGATGTTCAGTACAACTTTGGAAGGTTTTCGTTAACTTCGGAGAGAAAATAACTTTAACACGTTTCGGACCGCGAAATCGCGCGCGGCGAAAAAGAGGGTACTTTCAGCCGTTAGCCATCAAAGGAACCTTAATTCGTATACTTTGTGCTACATCTGTAATCAGCTTGTCAGATAAGAATCATACCCAAAGTTCTGTGTGAATTCGAAGTGTTTGAATTTTGTCGCTTGAGAGGGACTTTTGTGTTTTCCTGGAAGATAGGAGTAAGAACTCAGTTCCAAATAGTATTCAAAATATTTATGTTGTACACGGTACACATCACTATTGAAGCTACGGTTTTTCTCTTTGGAATCGGAGCAAAGAAAAGTTGCGACGTCGCACGCGTCGTTCGCGTTGCCGCACTTCGTTGCAAATGTTGTTGGATTTGTCCTCATATCTCCTAAACAAATATATGCGGCACAGCTCTACAAAGTCATTTGAAAAGAAGGAGCTTAGGGCTTTGACTTGATAACCTTGGACAAAAAGAAAACTCCTGTGAACGTTAAAAAGACTTCAAAGCCGCGTGCTGCACCATGTGCAGCACCGCTCCGAAACGTGTTAAAGCGTCGGGGATCATCAGGGATCGTACGAAAGCCGGAAAATGCGGTTCGTACAGCTTCTCGCTCCTGTTCAACATGTTCATAGTGAAGGGGGAATACTTAGGATAGGTACACGACGTGAAATCCAGGTATCTGGAGTTTGAAATATAAAGCTTTCTTTCAAGCTGCGATCCCCTCACCAGCGGGGAGGTTAGTGCATGCGGCCCTTAGGGAGATTTCTGGGGGTGTGGGGAAGAACTTTGACACGGGATGGGGAGGGGAACCTTGGGCACCCCTGCATAAAAAGATCGGGAGTAGAATTTGGTGCTTCTGCACGCATAGCCTACAGCAGCTTTGGGTGGGAAGAGAATGGCACCGTGGAACTCAGCGCTCCCTCTGAAAAAGTTATGGAGGGGTGAAGTTCTCTCTGGCCAGAAAATCCACCGACAATAATATGGGCTCCAATATGGGCTCCAACGTGGAAAGCGGTAGTAAGATGGAGAGAGCGAGAAAGAATGGGGGTGTGATTGGGCACCTGCGGGATAATTTTGTTGAGAGGAACTCTGATCCTGGACGTTGGATCTGCGGAATGCATTTTGGTGCACATTGGCTACCGCAGTTTGGAAAGGAGAAAGAATGAGCACTGCGGAACTCAGCGCTCCTTTGGAAAAGTTCTGGAGGAGGCATGTGGGTGATTTGACCAAGACCGGAGAAAAGCCTGAGGTTTTTTGTTTCAGTCGCGACGTGGTTCTGACATGGAACTCTGATGTGTTAGAATAGGAAGTGAGAAAAAGTGGGGACAGGTTGAACTCAGAACACCTACGAGAAGAGGTTTTTAGCGGGGATGATGTTGGATCATTTAGTCCTGAAAACATCAGGGAAACTGATTTGTGCACTGCTGTTTTTTTTCAAATCAAAAGTTGAGAGCACTTCCACTGTCCAAGTGCATTGAGTGAAATGCAGACTGTGAATCTGATGCGCTCCTCCGCTTGCAACACACAAGGTCCCCTGGTTCACTAGTAGAAATTAACATACAGTATGTTTCAGTGATTTTCAAGATTTCACGTGGAAGCTTAGCAAATCACCTGTGGTACCGACAGTGTAGCAAACACCTAAAAGGAATTATTGATTTTTCAGACTTTTTGAATCTTAAACCTACCATAATTGGATCCTTCCGGACAGGCGAAAGCGCCAGCTGGCCAGAATAACTCCCGTTCATTATTAAGTTTCTTTGTGTACTCGCTCATTTGATGTTGTGGAATCTTAATGTCAGATAATTAAAAATTGGTACAATAGAGCCGCGTCAGAGTTTCCGCGCGGCTTTCGGCACGGCGTTGGAACGGCGTTAGCACAGCGTCGACACCCGCGCAACTGTGAACCGCTCTGCCTTATAGCACTAATGACTCACCTGACTTGTTGATAGTGCATAGTTCATGCTGAACACATTCTCCAAAAATGGCGATGAAATACCATAGTATTCGGACACCGCATACATAGCAAACAGATGTCTATCACGCCGTGGCCAGCCATTGCATTTCGATAATAAGCCTGATGGCGATCGCAAGCTCGTCTCAACAATTTCAGTCTGTTCTGATTCTGAAAACCTCGCGATGCGGATCCATTATTTGAATTTGCTCAATCCCTACGTTTTCATTTTTATCCAACATTGATTGAACAAAGTCGCAAGAATCAGTACTGCAACTTCTTGCAGTTTCCGTTCGTCCATCGCGATATAAGCGCATAACAGCTGGTTCGTATGTGAGCTCAAATTTGCCTTGGTCCTATGAATCTGAGTTGATTTTCCAAACAAAAAACTTCGGCACAAACTTGAACAAGCAGATTTTTGGATTTTGTCACTTCGGACCTATATTCTGCAATGTCGGTTTCACGACCCACAGGTGGGTCGCATGCTACAAAGTTGCAGTTTTTACAAAGGAATTCCGAAAAACATCCAGAATTTAGCTTATTATGAAAACATCCATTTCAATTTTTGACGTCATACGGTAGAATTACGCCATCCAGTACGAGAAGAACATCATATTTTTGTCGAATACATTATTTTGAGGTGATCCGACAACGATTCCACAATCCGATTTGCTCACTAGGGTCCTAAAGTAGGACTTCGGTAGGGTAGATAATTTCCGTGGAAATCTAAAAAATTTTTATAACTAGTCAATGGCAGAGCCTGTTTTTGAGTCATCTGTTACTTGCTATATGTATTGCACACCGTGCGCGCTATATGACGAATTTTTGAGATTTTAGCATGCCCATTTACATAATTCACAGTTTATTACTCCACAAAAGTTTTTATTGAGTGAGAAGTTGGGCATAGGGCCGTGGATCGCCGCGCATTGTGTGCAGGCTCACATATTGAGTTACGAACGTACAGGAACTTTCGTATTTGTAATTATTACACTAAGAATCCCTCTATAAATGAGTTTTGAACTTTCTGGTGCAAAAAAAATCGATAAAGTCAATAAAACCGACAAGTTTTGAGTGGAGTAATTATTCGCGTATGTACTCAATATGCCCTGCACAGCCATTTGAATATAGGGGCCTGGCGAAACGCCAATTTTCTTCATATAGTCTTTTCCTTAGTCACTGAAGACAATGTAACCTCAAAATCTTTAGCAACTCCCTTGGAAATGGTATAGGCCTCCTTGACCGCACCCAAAGTCTGTAAAAAGCATTATAAGAAGGAAGGAGTGAATGAATGATGAATGTTCACCTCGGAATCCAATTGCCAACATAGCCTTTCTGGTTTTGGAACACTTGCACCTCTCCGGTACAGTTTCCGTCGGGACCATATGGCTTACTGAAAGCTTCGTGATATTTGAGATATTCTCGAACAAGACGTAGGTCATAGCATCCACCATCGAATGTTCAGCGTTGCACACAAACTTTAGAAAAGCTTTGTGAAAATTCTAGTCGAAGTTGTTCAAGCAAGCAAGCATACCCTTTCATTTTTGGTAAAGATGTAAATACTAGGTTTGTCACACCAAAATTTATATCCATCGCCTATCAGTGCTAACTCGTATTGTCAAAAAACTTACGTGTTGACGATTTCAGATTTTTCTGCGGCTTTCCAGATTTTTGACGACCTAAGTTAAAATGAGCAAAGTTTATATGGCCTTCTGTTTCTAATTTTATCTCTGCAGTCAGTGCATAGTAGAAGCTCTACAAAAAACATTCGAAAGGAAGAGCTTTACTCTTTCGAATGAAAACAAAGTGAAGTAAATCCGTTGAGATAACCCTAAGTAATGATTTTTCAAAAATGAAACGGCAGAACTTTCACGACAACCTAATACTTCTGCATCTAAAATATCCTCTGGAGGTTACCGAACAACGATAACAAAAACGTCAAATATTGGATGGCGCAGCATTGCATGTCTTATGCTACTTATGCCTGCCCGTCTTGTTCCAGAATAAATTGACGAATTTCTAGCTATTTTGATGTGGCAAAAACAGGGCTCAATTGCTGAAGTTTACCACACATGACATAAATTTTGGCATATTGGATAACTTTGAATGCAATCAACTATTAAGAATGTTTCAACCGGTATATGGCTAAAAAATTTGAGCTTAATTCAAGCAGGTCTTTCACAAAGTTCTAAAAAATCTGAAATCATTGTGCTTGCGCTGCATGAAATTCTCTATTTATATTGTTCAAAAGAAAAGTATGTAACATTCTTATACCCAATAGCTCACGGAGTCAAATGTTGATCTTAGACTTTACTTATAGTGACACCCGAAAGATTTTGTCCACTAGCAGTGACCAAAGGTTTTGCTGTTTCAAAAAAGCAAGTAAATTCATGACCTTTGGGTATTGAAAAAGGGATTGCGTTTTAGTTAATTAACTAAATCTTTCATCATTGAGAGATAAAAGGAAATGTGTAATGAAAGAGAACCATTCTTTTGCGAATGACTAAAACCTCATTCTTCAAAAGTTCGCATTTAATATAAAGTCAACGACCTAATTTTTGTATATTTAATTCGTACAACTCTGCTTCCTTTTTTGTTTTGTTTTATTGAAGGAAGTGACCACAGACACTTTTTGGAAAGTGAAAGTTAATTTTTGTCCCTGGCCGCGCTTTACACTGTGGTGATAGATTTCAATTCTGTAGTGCTTACAGAAAAAAAACCTTAGAGCAGCTTAATTAACGTTTTTCTAGCATTTACCTGTCAGTCTAGGGACTGTGTGTTTAACTCGAGTCTCGTAAAAATCTGGTAAAGAATTTTCCCCCTTGGGGTATTAAACATGCCAATAGCAACATTAGGTTAGCAAGCAGTCCGTAAGCGCTAGAAATGCGATGGGCTGTTCTGGGTATTTTGGCACTTTCGAAGAACACTTTTTGTTAGAGTGGTAGCAGTATTTCATTTGCTGCCAGTTGGAAAACGTCGCGCGCGACAGGCTGCCAGCGACCGCACTCGGAGAATTCAGCCAGCATGATCCGCAACACATAGTTTTTCAGTTTCTCATCCTTTTTTGAGGTTCACAGACTATCCTTATATTAGTTTTACTTAATTATTTGAAGTTCTGCCGCAAAAGTTGTAAAATGAGCTGTTAACGGACAAAAAAGACACAAATTAAAGGAGGTAAAACACTAACAGTATAGAAAAAGCATTGATAATCTAGTGATATAAATCTGACAAGTTTTCTACACTGCTGCTTCCCCCGCGCAGTTACTGTAACGCCGCGTTGCGACGTTCTCCATTAGGCATTACTTAGTAGTACACATTGTACATCTTGCTACGCCGAAAAGAGTCAGTAATGAGGGTGTCGTCGGCTGCCTTGCGTAAGGGTGCCTTCATACCGCGCCGGCAGCCGCCGCTGGCAGCCCGTAGCAGCCCGCAGCAGCCGCTGGCAGCCCGTAGCAGCCGCCAGCAGCCCGTAGCCGCCGCTGGCCGCCTTTGTCATAGAAGCGCAAATCATCAAATTCTTAGTCCTTTGCCTGCGCCTGCCCATACTTTCCATCTTCCACGCCGATGTGATATGACTGAAGCAGAACATACTTTAAATAATCAACAAATAGCAACCTGCAGGAACTGGACGCATCCAAAGTCAGAAGAAATCACATTACGAAGAAACTTTGGCGAAATATGGTTCAATTGCGAGAGGGAAACTGAGCATCGATAGGATAACCAATCTACGGTAACAAGATAATAACAACAACGGACAAAGTATGTTGATATATGAGATCGAACTGCGGCAACAGGAAGGAATAAGCGTGGAGGATGGAGGGCGTAGGCGGTTGAAATAATAAGAATTTAAAACAGTAAGAATTTGATGATTTTGCGCTTCTATGACAAAAGCGGCCAGCGGCGGCTACGGGCTGCCACGGGCTGCTGGCGGCTGCTGTGGGCTGCTAGGGCTGCTGGCGGCTGCTACGGGCTGCCAGCGGCGGCTGCCGGCGTGGTATGAAGGCACCCTAATATGCAGGCTCACATAATAGGTTACAGGTAATTCGCGGATAGAAACGTGAAGTGCATTTATGCCTCAAACATAAGCAAAAAGCTGTTCAAAAACACCGTCAACCCATCGACTTCCATAATTCAAAATTTCAGTGCCTCCTCTTGTCCCGATTTCGACTATGAAGTCAAGAAACCGTAAAAACCCCGCAGGCTAGTTCTTTGGAACGCTGATTGGTGGGCGCGCACGGATGGGCGGGCATTAACGGAAGGGGCGGTGCCAACTTGGGGCCCTCATGTCTCTTCGCTATCCCGAAGCGATATTTTGCGCTGCGACTTGGGCGTTGGCTCAAAGGGGCTACTATCGTATGCTGTCAAAACCTCAAGACTTCTTTTTATTAGCTTACGGCAAATTTGAATACAGTAATTACAATGAATACAATATAAATGACTAAACGCTAAACTACAATGATACCGACCTCCTTAGCCTGAGAAGAATTTTTAGCATCTGCTGACGGAACAGCCGTAACTGCAGAAAACTTTTTGGCTACGACTGCAACAAAAACTGGACTAGAAATTTCGGTGACATCAGTGCTTTCTTCGGGTTGCTGAGTGACTCTATCCTTCACAGATCGACGCTCTTTCACATCTGGTACTTCCGCTAGAACTATTGCCACTTCTTTCCTTCGGATAATCACATCGACAGCTGGTTTGCGATATCGGAACTGTCAGTGACGTCTTCTGGTCCAGAAGAAAGAATGCTCTGTGCGGTAGAAGAACCTAGGTGGTGCTTATATGGTCCCTGTAGATTTTCAAATTGTCCAAAATCACTCACGCTCAGCCTTTTCCTCGCTACTTGTTCCAGAACCTTTAATGGGAGGTTTTGCAAAAACAATAGCAACAAAAGCGAAAATGAACAGAATAGTGTGATTCATGGTGAACTGAGTTCTTAGAGCAGTTATTTTCTCTTATACTGTCCTTCAAACTCTGATCAGTTCGTGACCCCCACAGGAAGTGACAACATGTTGTTTGTTCGTATTCTCAGCATTACTAAAGAGGTCGCATACGTCATTTAGCGAGAAAGAAATCAAGAAAGAAGTAGTCATTCATTGATGTTTTGTTGAAATTTTAAAAAAATGTTTATAATAAGCTAAATTTATGCTTTATTTTCAGGTAATAAAGAAGATTAAAAAGCGTAAGCTACTAGGCTCCTTGATACCATTTTTACGTTTGATCTAGGCTTTGTGTTCCTTTTTACAATTAGGCTCCTTGATACCATTTTTACGTTTGATCTAGGCTTTGTGTTCCTTTTTACAGTGCCCTGGTGTGACTGGACTGATTTCATAAACTTCTGAGATTTACCATGCAGGATTTCCGGTTTTTTTAGATCGTAAAACGAAGAGATTTTTTGTTCTTTGATTGTGTATTAGTAACTTCAGAAATTATCAGCATTCTGGCTTATTAACCTAATCCTGGAAGCAAAAAATGCTTTTTGTCTTCGAACTAGGAAATTTTTCTCTTTGTGCGCATTTTAAATGTGAATAGACTTTTGGAGAAAAAAAGTTACGCATTGTGCATGAAATCAAATTACAGTGTAGAAACGTTCATTTTATTTTACCGTAAGATGAACTACGTCTATAGGCCCACAGAATGTGACGTAAGCCTATGCAAGTTTGCAGACGCCTGGATATTTTGTATGACTCTCGAAACATTTCCTGTGACAAAATAAATGGATGAAGTATTTGCTGAACATCATCGCTCACAGCTATATATGTTACATTAAGAGCACATAATAAACAATATTTATTTTTATAAAGTGCGGTTCATAATAATACGACCACCCAAAGTTTTGTAAGTTTTTGGACTTTTTGGGAGAACCTCAAAAAGCCGTTGGTACCACGCGATAGAACACAACCGAAAACGGTTTATGACTCTTAAGAATGGAAATTGATGTCAATCTTAGGAGTGTTTTTGCGCCTAATGCGAATTTTTAGCGGTTCATAATTATGCGAACACCTCAAACAGAGGTCCATTTTTCATTCAAGATTGCAATCATTTTAGTTCAAATTTTTGTAGAGTTACAGTAACAAAGTCTGACTATCTGCTGCACACTGAACCCAGTGCAGTTCAAAAAGAGGGCAGTTATTTTTTTCAAAAGGCTTTAAATGCTTTTGGAGTGATTGCGCTCCAAAAACATCCGTTCTTCTGTGGTTTACGCGCTCTAATTAGCTTCTACCAAAGCTATGAGATAAAGTAAGCCCTTTCGATAGGTATTTTGTTTGGCTCTCCGAAAATCTTTGCATTTTTGCGCCGTTTTCAACCAAGTTCCATCCTAACCCTAAAGTTAGCACGACTTGAGCCTCAAAACACAGCTTCTGAAAGCCTACAATGAATTTAAGCATATAGTATGTAGAAGTTCACAAGACTGTATATTTGGCTAGAAAAAATCAGCAGCGTTGAGCGTTTTTTTTTGTCACGCAGACGTCATTTCACCAGAAATACTGTTTTTACTATTGCAGTCACACCTTTATTTGGTTTGTAGGTCCACAGCTGCAAAGAATTCTAGAAAAAACCCAAAAACTTTGGCACAGAAACATCATCATGCAAGCAATGCAGCTGCTTCATATCAAATGTTTGCTCAAGATAGAAGCTGAGTTTTGAGGCTCGAAATCGTGGTAACTCTAGGGTAAGATTGGAACTTGGTTGAAAAACGGCACGAAAACTCGAAGATTTTCCAAGCGTCAAAGAAAACACCTATCTAAAGAACTTATTTTATCTCAAAGCTTCGGTAGATGCTAATTAGAGCGCGTAAACCACAGAACAACGAATGTTTTTGGAGCGCAAACACTCCTAAAGCATTCAGAGCCTTCGGAAAAAGTAACGGTCCTTTTCTTAAACTTCACTGGGTCCAGTGTGTAGCAGGTGTTTCAGACTTTATCACTGTAACTCTCCAAAAAATTTGGATTCAAATGATTGCACTCGCGGATGAGAAGATGGACCTTTGTTTAAGGTGTTCGTATAATTATGAACCGCTAAAAATTCGCATTAGGCGCAACACTCCTAAGATTGACATCAATTTCCATTCATATGGATCAAATACAGTTTTCGGTTGTGCTCTTTCGCGTGGTACCCACGGCTTTTTGAGTTTCTCCCAAAAAGTCCGAACTTACAAAATTTTGGGTGTTCGTATAATTATGAACCGCATTTATTGTATAAACCATATGAGGAGATTCTTCAATTGTTTGCTGCAATAGCTCTTGAAGAATTGCGAATAAACAGAAAAAAAGTGTAGCCTTCACTGTCACCTGCAATAAGATAAAAATGTTCTGAATTTGATCTCTGATAATATCGGTGTTCCAAAAAATCTGTGGTGGAAGCATTCCTGTATGATTCCTAGCAAGATTTTTACCCAGCCAAGAAAAACTTAATCTTGTCTCAGCATCATTCTAGCTACAGTTTGATCTGAACTCAAACAGTGTTAGGCGGATAGCGTGATGCATAATCTTTTGTTATGTAAACAGTCACATAGGTGTAAGGTAGCGATCAGAGATTACTCTGAGCTCTACCTTACACCTATGTGACTGTGATCAGCCGTGGCAAACGGGTGTGTACGGCGCAAAGCTGACAACAAGTAAAGGCTAGGTTTATTTTGAATAAAAACTGATCGTGAGAAAGCGTGTGTAAGAAAGTCTCTCGATTTACAAAGGATCTTATAAATTTTTCTGGAATTTACTTGAGCAAAAAAAGTGCAACTGGTTTTTTGTAGATGCGGTGAAACGATGATCAGAAAAACGTTGCATACATGGACATTGGGAAGTTATATTTTTAGAGGCAGTTCTATAGTCTATTCATTCGCAATTTGCGTGAAACTGCACAAGCTGCGCGTGGTGCGCGCCTTACATATAGAATTGCGTAGCAAATTTTTCCCTCTATGTCTGGAACAAATAAACAGCTAAGAAATGCTAGAAAAGCACTTAGCGGGTGCTCCATCTCCCTCAGTTGAAGGGAACCTGTGTTGAACGCGCAATGTATGCGTTATTTGCAGTCGCACTTATAGAAGAAAAGGCTAAACTGTAGGTTTGAGGACAACGAGTTTGCTATTTATTCGTCTGTCGAAGGCTCAAAAAGCATGAGAATGGCAGTTTCAGCCTCCAGATTTTCTCTTACTATTCAAAATGAAAATGAATTTATAACATATTGGAATTTTGAACGTTTGCTCCTAACTATAATAGAAGAAGCAGGATGAGAGGGACACTCCAATGAGACTCAAGTCCCATTTAGTAAAGTACAAAGGCAAGAGCACCTTTCAAGAATTTTAAAGGAAGGCAGGCCCTTCGGGTGAGGTCACTTACACCCTCATGGCAAATAATCATACTTTTTTGATCCCGAAATCTGAACAACTGAGAGAGGACCCAAGGCAAAACTTACGGGACATCTGCAATCGATGCCAACTAATTGCTCTCTTTTCCATAGCAGTTACGCGTCATCACCGCAAGGGCCTAGCGCGGCGACCCCGATTGATGAGGAGAGCGTTGAATGCGCAGCTATACGCGCGCGAACGCGTCGTGAAGCTCTGTGATTGCGATTTGGCTAGTGGAAAAGGGAGCGCAACGTTGACAACACGCACTGTAATTTTTATGACCGACTAAAATCAATCAATAGGCATGCACTGCTCAGACTGGAAAATCGGGCTATTCCACAACCGCATCGTTCACGAATGTCAATTTCACTCTTTGTGGCAAAACCTTGTCCCCAATGTGTGTTGGTTCGTTCCTCCCAGCTCACATCCACCATAGCCAATAATGCTGCACCGCATAAGATTTATTTACGTGTGCAGTCGAGTTGTTGACCACGCACAAACAGGCCTTAGATTGCCAAGCACGCGCCGCGCAGCCAAACGGTACCAGTAAAATCACTATCGTACAAGTCGTGCTCTTGTAACTTTCAGACTCTCCTGGCGCTTCGCAATCTCGCCTGTCCCAATCCCAATCAGGTCAAAATTGACATGGCGTATGCGTCACGTCTACCACTCGCTTGTCTGCTTTCTCTTCAATCTCTTCGCTCCAATCTACAATGCGCATACGCGGCGCAAAACTCTAGCGCTACGAGCGCGCAAATTCACGCCAACTGTTCGACCTAATCCCGATTGGAACAGGCTGTATAGCAGTGGCGGACCAAAGTGGGAGGAGGGGCGCATCTTGCGAATGGGTCGCGAAATTTTTGAAAATCACTTGAATGGGTTGTGAAAATACGCAAATGAGTTTTATAAATTTAAATAGGCCTTGTACAAAAGTTTCAAAGGGTGGGTTTGAGGTTTTGGCCGCAAAAATTTGGAAATCCTTAAAAATTTTGGAAGAATTTGATATTTCTATCCGCCCTTCAACGAAAATTCTAGGGCCTTCACTGGTATATAGTGCGTATATAGATGTATTTAATATTCCTTTTCATACATGTGGACTGTCTCAGGAGTATGTTTCAGTCATTCGCTGACTAAGAGATACGTGAACGCTTTGCATAGGTCGGATTAATAAGTTTATAAGCGCGATAACGAGCTTTGGTAAATTATTATTAGAAAATCGTTAAGAAACGTGTGCCTCGTGTTGTTGTTTAATCTTGCTCGAACATGTTCTATCAAAATCCTATAGTAAATCAACTGAAACGCGTTAGAACCAGGGTCAAGCGTGGGGTGCGGCACGCCACACCTGGGGGGTCGTATTGAGGAGTCAAAGGGGAGGGGGTCGTAGTTGGATAATCCGATAATAGTGATAACATGATATTCTTCTCATATCCATAAGCATCTCAATTAACCCCTGAAGACAAAGTGTGAGCGAATTCTGAAGATTCAAGATACTAGGCTACCTAAATGAAATGGTCAAATTCCAACACGGTTAACTTTGTTTCAAAAGTGAATCAGCTATCCGTTTTTGATCTCAAG